AGCTTTGGACACATGACCTTAGATTTCAGGCTCTGACATTGGTAAGAGAATGGTGCTAATCACGGGGAAGCTGGGCTGCTTCGAGCTGCCTCTCACACAGACGTGACCGACACCAGTAGATGCTCTCCAAGGGCAGGGCTCCCTCCTTCCCAAACTCTCAGCGACTATGAACAGTACAGTTGCTTCTGAACAAAGTACAAGTTAAACGGAAATTTTAAAAAAATTCTCATTTAAACCGTTACGTAGCAAAATATATCCGACTTATTTTGAACCAGCCACGTGTAGTCAGCATTCTGGAGACATTCTGGATGTTTGTTGGTTAGTGCTGTCCACAGCTCTCCTCCGTCAGCACAAACTTCCAGCTCCACAGCACTCCCCTTCCCCCAAGTCAAGTAACCACCGTCCCACGTCACTCCTCCCCCGACTCATGACAATAGTTTTCCACAGCACAAAATTCCTGAAGTAAACAGCCCGTGGAAGCTTGACATTGTTCACTCTTCTGAGGAGTATGTCGAAACCTCGTACTTTCTTGCTGCTGCCCACCAGGGACATAAACCACACCTTTGTCTGGTGTGCCCGAGCTCTGTATGTTACCCACCATCGGTCGCTATGCTGGCAACCAGAGAGACTAGTGTGGTAGCATGCTGCTGCTCCACTCACAGCCCTATGCCATCCTTCACCTCTCCTCAAGATGGCGTGTAGCATGGCGCCATCTCAAAGCATCGCGAAGGGGAGGGCGAGCACAGCCTGGGGCATTGAGAGTCAAAGAGACAGCGAAATATTCACATAACTTTTTGTTAGAGTGTGTGCTATCGTTACTCCATACGCTATCAATTACTCCCGCTAACATCCCCACTGCAAGTTACCTAAGACCCAAATTTCACTATAACTATGGGTATAGGAGGTGATCAGAGTAGCTATATATGCATCTAGGAATGCATCCCCTGAGGAAAGCAGGACTACTACAAATTGTTTTCTCACCTAAAAGGCCATCCATATACATTTAACATTTAACAACAACTGAAAGATAAGAGGTGCACTAATGAGCTTTTCCTTTCTTCACTCAATTACTTACTAATTCACTCCCTAAATAGTTATTATTTACGTTCTTTTCTAGACAGCATGCCAGGTGCTGAAGATAAAGCATTCTCAGGAGCTCAGTGTCCGTAAAAACCGAAGGTGAAATTTGGGCTAGGAAGGCACTGCTTCCAAGGGATGGCACAGGACAGCAGGTGGCGTGGGTAGCAACCCATGCGGCAGCCAAGATGGGAGGCAGAACTCGTGGACCCAGAAGTCCTTGCTTTAGCCAAGTCTTGAGACGAATTGGCTAGGAAAATGATGCAGGCAAGGACGGATGGAGGCTGAGGGAACCTTCTTGGTAAGGGCCATTTGAAATCTAGAGCATGGACTATTCATACATTTGGAAATAAAGCTGGCTAGAGTCGTGACAAAAGGTGACTGGATGAATGCCAGAGCTGAGCATGCCATGTGAACTCTGGGATGTTTGACAGGCAGCTGGGTCAGGCCTCAGCCCTCATTTCTGGAGTACAGAGACCATGCTGTACCCCCCCCCCCCACATTTCCATTATGAAGTATGGACTTTGAAACACCGGTTCCCTTTGAATCGTCCTAGACTCCTTGTCCAGTCTTAATTCTCCCCCAACAAATATGGTTATCTGCTGCATAATGTTATTTCAGTTCATGCTGGACCACATATCAGGGGCCCCGTAAGTTTCTACCACACAGCGGGACTACAGACATTGTCTTTGTGTCAGTGATTTTTTTATACATCAGCCAAGTTGCATAAGAAGGCACTTCTAAAATACATCCCCATTGCTAAATGATGCACGGGCATACTGTCTGACCACACGGGCTGTCACATGCTTGGGCATACTGTCTGACCATGCTTATTGTCACATGCTGTCTAGTGATGTCTAATGTGCTATGACTTCAGGTTTAAGACAGGATTTCCCCATGATTTTCAGTGTTTCTCCCCTTGCCCCTCCAAGTCCTTACTCATTCTTCAAGGCCAAGGCCAATGTGAACTCACCTGTAAGGTTTTCCTAGCCTTTGGGTATTTATCTTGCACTGAGATCCTGAGATCGTGATGGAAAAGCCCCCACAATTAGGATTCCCGTCCATATGAGAGGCCCGAGAGTGGACTTCCTCTCCTCGCCGTGAGGATGGAGGAAACCTGCCGTCTAAGAACGGGAAAGCAAGCGGGCCCTCGCTAGACCGTGGAACACTGGGGGAAGACACTGACAACAAAACACCTTGGGACGGAAAGAGCTTCTCTGTCGTACGGGTTAGCGGTGTGTCATCTAAGGAAGCCAGGGCAGGAACTACAGGCGGGAACCTGGAGTTGAGAACTGCATCGGAGAACATGGATGAAAGCTGCTTACAAGCTTGCTTCCTCTGGCTTACTTGGCTACTTTACTTGTACAGCCCAGACTTATATGCTTAGGGATAGCACCGCCCTCAGTGGGTTGGACCCTTCTCCAGGAATCAAGAAAACGCCACACAGTCTTGACCATGAGCCAGTTTCTGATGAAGGCGGTTTCTCAGCTGAGGTTCCTGCTTCTCAGCTAATGAAACGGAGTTCAATCTATCAATACAACAGCTCGATCTTGGACTTTTCCACCTCCAGAAGTGTGAGAAAGAAGTGTCTCTTGCTTCAAAGCTACTCAATTTATGTCTTTCTTTTTTCTAATAGCCTGAGATGACTCTGAAAACAAGTTACTCTGGAAATATGCAGCATTTGCACCACAGGCTGTGCTTGCACTGGAAAGAAGCTAATGGTGTCTTAGGGTTTCCTTGCCCAAGGAATCTGTTGATTTCTTGCCCTTTGGGGTTTCTGATAAAATTCCAAGAGTTGGGCCTACTCTCCCTGTATGCTATGTTGCTCACCCCTAGGATAGTAAGCAAGGTTTCTTCTGTCAAAGCTCTGGAAAGATACTGACATGGCAACACCCAGTGCTCAGATGGGAAGGATGAAGGAGGAAAGGAGAAAAAAGAGGGGGAGTAAAGGAAGAGGGGATGAGGAGGAGAAAAGAAAGAGGGGAAATAAAAGGAGAAGGGGAGGAAGCAACAGCCGCCATCACTACCAAGGAAGCCTCCAGCATGCCCTGGTGCTTCCTCACCTTGACACGTGGCTGCTCATTTCCACTGGTGTCAAAGGGACATGTATCAGAGGACTAAGTCTGCACACATTTCAAGACTTCGAATTCATCTTCCTTAACATAGATCTCTATAAAAGACTACGGCCAATTAATGGAGCTACAGTTACTCCAAACTAAACCTTTTCCCGTCTATCCTTGCATACTCGATGGACAGCCCATGCCCAGCATCCTCCTCAGCAGCATCAAGAGCAGCAAAGGGCACTCTAATCACAGGACTGGAGCGGTGACAGGCTATAATTCTTTTGAAAGGAATGGCTTGCCAGGAGAGTTGCCATATGGTCACATTTTATCAGCTCCCCCGGCCAAGCAGCCTTTTGTGACACAGAAAGCTCCTGTCTTTAACTGGGTTTGTTTTAGACAAATGCAGTATTGCCTTTAACTCTCTCAAAGACAGGACCAGTTGGCCAAGGCACACTGGGGGCAGTGCAGACGGCTTTTGACAGACAGGGTGCAGGATGTTTGAGGCTGAGATTGAGTTTGGCGGGGGGGGGGGTGAGGTATGTGGCATCGTTAGACAGGAGTGCTAAGGCCAACAGAGAGTCCTGAGTTCTAAGGGAATATGGTATTTTTACCAACTCACTCAACAAGATTTGCTGAATGCCTACAATGGAAGTCAGGTTTCCAAACAAAGGAGAGGAAGAGTGTACCCTGTTGGGGAAGTCCTGTGCATTTGTTAATAAAGCACTGTCTGGCCAATAGGGAATCTAGATAGGTGGGACTAGGAGTCCAGGAGAATTCTGGGAAGGAGGAACACAGAGAGTCACAATGTAACGCCATGGGGTAGGAAGCCCGGAACTATTCTCCGGTAAGAGACATACTTAGATTAACAATTATGGGGAAATTACTTAAATCAGAGCTAGCCAGTAAGAAACAAGCAAGGCCAACAGCTTCATAATGAATATAGCCTCCTGTGTGTTTATTTGGGACTGATGCGGCTCTAGAACTAGGCTGGCGGGAAGGCTTCTCTCAAAGAAAAAGCTTCTCTTAACAAAAGTACCCCAATGTGTCTTGCATTATACAAGTGGGGAAAAGGACAGCCTAATGGTTCAGTTATAAGTAACTCTATAGGGCAGCTTGGGAGTTGGGGACTATGGAGGAAGTACAGTGGAGGGAGCAGAGGAGAGAGGACCAGACAGTGTGAAAACGGAGGCATGATGGTTGGGACAAAATGGGAATGAAGAGCAGGCCACGCAATATCAGCAGGATCTTCTGGAGCAAAGACCAGATGCGCTCTGGGAGCGGCAGGATGATGGCAATGTGGGAAGCATCAGGATATGAGGCCAGACAGCAAGGGAACCACAAGTCAAGTGAGGACTTGGAACAAGCTCTGACTTTCCTCTTAATAAACCTGTGAGTCACTACCAAATCAGGGTACACATTTTCCGGAGGACGGAGCTGAAGGGCACAACACAGACCCCCTATAGTGAGGGTGCAGGCGTAACCCGGGGAAGAGAGAGATGATTGTGGCTGGGACTGGAAGGGAAGGAAGGGATATGATGAGAAAGGGCTGGATTTGGGATGACAGAGTCAGTAGAGTGTCCTAAGGATTGGAGGTAGAACACACCAGAACGAAAGGTGGAGGACTCCAAACTGCCATCCACTGGATTGGCAGGCAGTAGCTAGGACGAGCAGCATGGAAGGGAGCTTGGGAGTGTGCTTAGAATGGGAGAGCATACATGGAGGAGAAATGAAGACCAAAGACGGAGCCCAGGGTACCTCATATAAACAGGTGGGTTGTGGCTGGAGCAAGTACTGCGCACACATGTGACGCACGGCAACTGTTCAATGGCTATGCACTTACTTTTAAACTTATACCTTGTATTTATTATGTCCGTAGCACCTGGCTGGTTTTGGATGCGTCTAAATTAAGATGCAGTTAACTCACATGTATGTTGCCGTGACAGTCCAACACCCAAATGTCTTTGGTGTGCGTAATGGATGCTTGTAAAAATGAGAAGGGGTTTTAAACGAGCAGTGGTGATAGCTCATTATCCATTACACCATTCAAGGGTAGCAGGTTCTGAGCATGCCTCGAGAAGAGTATGGCAATGGCCTGGGTCATAGAGCTTCTGTCCTTGGGGAGAGCATGGTCTGGTTGAAGTGACACAGAAATCTAAAGCCTCATGAGGGAAGGGAAAAGTTCATGAAAGAAAAACTCCTGATCATGAGTTCAGGGACTTACGCTGAGGTTGGTTGGTAGATGTGGGATGACCAGGACACTTATTTACAACATAGGCCAGCATACATGCGTACTCCCGGGCTTTGGAGTGTGTAAGAACCCACAGAATATGGACATGAGGTGACTGAATTAATGGGCTGCAAAACACGTGTTCAGGTGTCGTAGGGATCTGGGTGGGGAGCAGGGACAAGTTCAATGAGGTGTCAGTCCAAAGGAGTTTGGAAACCGTGGAAAAGAATTCAGAGAAAGGATTCCAGACCCACCCAATCGCATTCAGATGCTCGGCCAGCTTCAGAACCTCAGCCTCATTCTCCTTGCCCTCAATCCCTGGCTTTCACCACATCAGGGAAATCCACGGATCTGTGTGAAAAACAGAGTCTTGGAAGGATGATGAGGTTCCAGGGGCTTCCTGGCAGATGTCCTCGGCAGGCTGCTGACCTCAAAGGCAGATTGCTAGAAGGTTTGGAAGCAGCACCTCCATAAGGACTGGAGAGTTCATGCAGTGTTCTTCCACCCTGAGTCAAAGAATAACCTGGGGTCAGGGTGGGAGGGCTGGCTGAGCCTCGAAACCCTAAGGTCACAATGAAAACCCCCTCTTGTTCATGGGCGGGTCCCCTTTGGAAAGCTTAAGTTCCAATCATTGAGACAAACAAAAGAAAAGAAGAAGAAGAAGAAGGAGAAGGAGGAGGAGGATGAGAAGAAGAAGAAGAAGAAGAAGAAGAAGAAGAAGAAGAAGAAGAAGAAGAAGAAGAAGAAGAAGAAGAGGAAGAGGAAGAGGAGGAAGAAGAAGAAGATGATGATGATGAAGAAGATGAAGAAGGAGGAGGGAAAAAAGAAAGAAAATGCTAGGCTGTTTCGGGAAATGCCCTGGTAGAGAAATCTGGGGAATATCAAAAGTGTGTAACAGGGGAAGAGTGAGAGCCCCCCAGTCCAAGTCATTCAAAACCATGTTGGAGATGTCACTGGGGGATGCAGGGAGAAGGCATGTGCTAGTGGAAAGCTGGGTGATGGGCCCCTCCCAATGCTACAGCGGGGCATTTCTGACCACTTGGTGATGGCTCTCTTCCAGACACACTTTCTTCCCCTCGGCTTCATTCATACGTTTTGTTCATGTCCCAAGCATTTTTCTCTCTTGAAGCCATGGCAGATTCCAAACCCAGCTTTATGAACGAATGGTGGTAAGTATGATCGATCTTTAGAAACCTCTAGCTAGGCAGAGAGCAAGAGCTGTTACCCCTTCACTTTGCTTTGGCTGGGGTGCTTGCAAGGCCAGCCTGGGTTCGTGAGTTCCTGAGCTTATTCCTGTTTTACACTCAGCTTCTTAAGAGGAAGAAAAAAATGGAATAAAGTCTCCTTCCCCTCTTTTCAAAAACCTAGGAAATTAACTTTCTAACGAAACATCTAGTTTATCAGAGAGTAGAAGTACACCAAAGGGAGCCCCATCTACTACTCAGCTACTTTTAGATTAAAGCAGAGATGGTGTTGCTGTCTCTGGGGTCTGTTTACGATATGACCCTTGTCTGCTCTGAAGCTGACATCCTCCACATACTTTCCTGCTCCCCGAGATCCATGCAAACCTCTTTCATCCTGTACACCTTTCCTTTTTTCTAAGGTGAAATTCCTCAACCACATAAACCAGACCAAACTCATTTCTCCCCAGACTCTTTCTTGCTGTGTGCCAAGTTTTTCCATTTTCTCTCAGTCTTTGAATTTCTGAATGTGTGTGTACATACTCATATGTGTGAATATATATATATGTATGTATGTATGTATGTATGTATGTATGTACGGGGCAGGTGCCTGTGGAGGACAGAGGTGTCTTCCTCAACTGTTCTCCACCTTAGTTTTTGAGACAGATTCTCTCATTGAACTTGGAGCTCACTGCTTGGATTAAGCTTGGATTAGACTGGCTGGCCAGCGAGCTTGAGGAATTCTCCTATCTCCAGTTCTCCAGTGCTGAAATTACATGTATACCTGTGGATTTTTTTTTACATAGTACTGGGAATCTGTAGTGGGGTCCTCATCTTGTACACCAAGTACTTAGCCAACCAAGCTATTGTCTCAGGCCCTGATTTCAGAGTTTCTTGGCAAATGCAGCATACACCAAAGTCCCTCGGTTGTTTCTGCTTATATCATATTTTCTTTCCTCTACATTCTTTTGAGTTGCTTGTTGAAGACATCATTGAACTACAATTTCATTTACCTGCTGGGCTGACCATGGCCTACTTTAAATGCGCAGCATTTGGCTTCTGTACCATAGCAACTGCCTGGTCCTTCTAGTTTCTTTCAGTACCCCTGGGAACCCCCAGGGCATTGTGCATGCTGGGCAAATGCTAGATTTCTGAGTAAACCTACGCCTATCTTAAAATTTAATTTTGGACACAAGGCTCACTAAACAGTCCATCCCAGTCTGGACTTGAACTTGCATTTGTCCTGTCTCAGCCCCCTAAGTAGCCAGGATTACAGGCCTGTACTACTAGAGCTGGCTATGCAATTGCTCTTTAATGCCTTTTGGGACCATGTTATCATTTCAAACAGTTGGCTCTAACCTGTGCACATAGGGTTGTGTAAGTCTCTTTACCCAAAAAATTCCATTGAATTAGAACGGGAGAGTCCTATAGAAAAGGCCAACCTGAATGAAGGATTTACCAGCTATGTTTGATCCAGGATACCCACAAATGAGATCATGAGGCCGCTTCTCAAACTCCTGACCTCCAGCTTGAATCCTTAAGTCACCACTAGTGTGAGTTTCATGCTCTGCCCACCTGTCCAGCCTGGCTGCTGACTTGTCTAGGTGGCCCCAAGAGACACATGTATTCTGTGTTTTCCACTGTTGTGAGCTATGTGCCCCTCATTTCTCTCTCGACTACTGTGATGCCTTCTGGAGTGCTGACAACAACAACACTAACTAGTGTCTAGCGAACCCACTGTTTGGGGTACATTACTGCACTGCCTATGTGAATTCTTAGTGTGACAAGGTAGCTACTTCATAATCTCTGCATTACAGCGAGAAGTCCAGAAAGCAGCTGTTCGAAGTCATACAATGTGCAGACAGAGCCATGAAGTCCACGTCCGCACCCATGCCTGAACCGACCCTCCCCAGACATAAATAACACAATCCAAATTGTTCAGTGTGAATGTCAAAGCTATAAAATATACTTTCTCCCACTTTCTTACCTTTCATTTCCAGCTTACCTTCTAGCCTAGGCTACCACTTTTACCAAAGATGACCCATTTATCTGGCCTGTTCACTTCTTTTCCCAGTAACACCTAAGTCCCATTGCAAAATGTACACTTGCCAAGAGCACTCTGAGGATGTCTGCTCTCAGGGCTGACCAATCCCAACATGCCTCATCTAAGTTTGCCTCGGTGCTGCCTCTGGAGCAAGAGCCTGCTTGCCTTATACTGGTTGAAAGTACACTTATGTCCGTCATTCTCACTACACTGAAGAGAGGAACAATGGTTTATTCCCCTCTGTAGTGTTCCCCATGCTCCACACTGGCACTTGGTAAACACCTTATATCTGACAAGCCTCCAATAAGTTTGGCAGAATTGTATCACAGGCCTCTGTGTAACAGACTTGAGTTATCAGTATAGGCAATTGTTGGGAGCCATCATGGCCACTCTGGGTAGTCAGTTTCCAAGATGCGCATAGATGCCAGGCATCTTTATACTCGATGCTGACTGTCTGAACATCAAGACTGCAATGCTTCCTGTATCAGCATCAAGACTTTCCTGCAACTTATAACTGGACACCAGTATGCAACATTCAGAAGCATCTACTCTGTAACAGGTATAATTTCTTTCTGAAGAAATTGCCTCTTTTCTTTAGCTAATCACGGCTAATCTCAAGTAGCAAAATAGTAATTATGCAAGCTAGTGTTTCATTAAACTTCATATTTTAACTTCTGAGTCATCCTCAGAACCCGTAGAGAAGGTGTATATATAGATATCATCCTCTTTCTGGAAAAGAATCCTCAGATTCAGAAGGTCCAGGTAAAGCCACAAGATTACCCAGCTAGCAAGTAGCTGACCAGATGCAACCTGACACCTCTGCTTCTGCCACACTACCAATTCATCTTTCTCGAAGCTGAAGTTAACAAATGTCAGTTTCCTCTCCTCTTTCTCACGTGATAGCAGAGTTAGACGCAGAAGCCAGGGCTCAGAGCAGCTGACGATTTCGGATTCCCGGCTCTGTCCTTGCATGATGGTGTACAGAGAATTTTTACAGCCTGGTGGGTCATACGAAGATGTCCAGTCACATCCTGGACATCCTTAATCCTCTCATTAAACTCCTCAGAAGGAGAAAATAACGGAAATGGTGGCGGCTGTGTACAGGTTGGGCTCCATTGCAGATGGGACATGAAGTCTGGCACGCCATTGGCCATGAGTCATTGCAAGTCCAAGCTATGTACCAGAGGACAGCAGGAAACCACAGGACCTGGTTTCACTCTTGCGGTGACAATCTTTTGGGAGGCTGGAAGGCTGTGGTGGTTCAGCTGTTCCCCTATGACTGCTTCCCCACCAGCTCTGGATTGTGTTTGTCCTGGCCAAGTAGGATGTGGGACACTTACTGGCTCAGGCAGCGCTAGGCTACTGAGGGAGACACATCCACTTCCGGGCTACTGAGGGAGACACGTCCACTTCCGGGCTACTGAGGGAGACACGTCCACTTCCGGGCTACTGAGGGAGACACATCCACTTCCGGTCCCATTCACCACCACCACCAATGCCCTCCCGCCCCCTCCCCGCCCCCTCCCCGCCCCCTCCCCCCTTCCTGTCTCTCCTTTCCCGTGAATGGCTACTACATCATTTTGTACCGTGCCTTCCTGCTGTGTGGAGACAGGTTTATGTATGGAGGACACACAGGGACTCTTCACCTTGGCAACAGCTTCTCACCACGCAGAAGAATGGTCTTTGAGGTGGTCTCAGCTCCCGAGTGAACATGAAGTCTAACTTCTAGCAACAAACACTTGTTTGGCTCCCAGGCAGGGCTACACAGCTTCTGTGATGTAAGATGGTACTTTCAACCTCAAGTCCAATGGGGAGTCTCACCCTCTCATCCTGCCATTCCCCTCTCTTGATTAATTTCTGTTCGACTTGACTGCATAGATCATACTCGTCTTCTGGAAAATTCAGCATCTGTCTGTTCATTAAAACAAATAAACTGACACACCTCCAAAACAAACAAACCAAAAAAGTCCCCCAAGGTTTTATCAACTTAGTTAGCTATTGGTGTCTTCCTGGAGCTGTATGAAACGCATAGTGGGTTAAAGCATCCCTTTTAAATCAAGCATCTAGGGAAACATTTAATAAATACTAGAAGAGTTGGAGGCAGTTCCATTGGAGAAAGAGTAAGTGTGGAGTTTGGTTTTTAAAGGAAGAGTTGAAAACAACCATTGTCTCTGAAGTAGAATAGCTAGCTTAGTCTCTTTTGAGTTGCTTTATATTAAACAAAACAAGTAGTACCAGGCATGCAACATCATTTCTTGCATAATAAATGGTCTATAACTAGAAACAATGATGCTTACTCATATTAGAAAACAGAAGCACAGACAGGACATTAACCTAATTTTTCAGCCTCCTTTCTAATCAAACTTGACGAAATCAAGGTATAAAATAGATTTGGGCACTTACCCAAAACAAGGCTAGATGTTTAGAACTGTAGAGAGGTCTTTGTTGAGATAGCTGTAAGGGTTCCTAAACTGAGATCACACAGATGGCCGGAAGCTTCTACTTAATCCAGCTTCCAAACCTTTCCAACCATCTTCCACAAAGCAAGGATCAGCCTTTCCACACTGAAAGCACACAAAGATAGATCCCTGAGTCTCTGTTACAGATAACATCTGGACCTTTTTCACAGATAGACACAGTTGACCCAAAGGAGTTCCAAACACGTGTTTGTTCAAAGTATCTGGACACTGGGACCATTAGATAACATTTTAGCATGCCGCTCATAGTTTTTGTTCTTTGTCTATCCTTGTCTGGAAATTTACACACTTGCTTCTGAGGTTTCAGTCTTGCTCATGACCAAACAGTAACTCCTGTTGCTCACATGCTCCAAGAGGAGGCTGGGAACCAGGTCAGGCCAACATGAACTCTGAGCCCTACGTCCTGACTTCTGAATCTTCCTAAATGTCTGTTTGATGTCTTATATTTTTTTTTGCCCAAAGCTAAGATCTGTTCTCATTTCTCTCAAGATATTTTTATGCATCTTTAATAAGCAAGCTGTTGTAGAAAGCAAGCTGTTGTAGTCTAAACATTTGAATTTGCAGCAGCTGTATGATTATCCATTTGAAGTCTGTGGATGGAACTTCTTCCAGGGAGGACATGTCAAAAGGCAAGCCCTTGTATCATGAGAAAGTCTTAAAGGTGGTTGGTTTTTGTTTTGTTTAAAAAAAGAAAAAGACCAAGCTCAAAGAGCACAGCATCTTCATTCTTTAAGAGGCCCAGATGTTTTCTGCTTTGTCCAACATTTTTAGGCTTCTCTTCTTTGGCCATCAGAGTATAGACTTAACTTTCCTTTGAATTTCCTGCCATTAATGAGGCCCAGGGCCAGTATAAAACATGTATTGAATATCCAGTTACATTTTCCAAGCAGCATGAAAATCCTTCTTTATAAAGCACAATGCTTGGTCAACTTGGAAGGGGTCAGCTAGCTTAATAATATACACATTTAAGAAGCCAAATATCTATTTTTCTCCTTTCTTCCACTCACGTAGTTCATCTGTGTACACATCTATCTCTCCACTGAATACATTTGTTTGCTTTTATGCTACTTAGCTTTCATGGACCAAGCAATATGACAAATATCAGACAATTTGACTTTTAATCTAAGTGGGTGCGATCCACAGAAGGTTAAACTGGAACATTTTGGATCCAAAGCTTGAGTCAGGTTCACTGGGAGAGTTATGGTCCCATGGGGAAGATCTTGCTTCTAGAGTTAGATAGGCCAGGATGGAAACTTCCTCTCCCATGAATGGGATAAGTTTCCAAGCTCTGACCAGCCTTGGTTTCCTCATCTCAACAGTGGGATCATAGTCATGTTTACTATACAGTCATAGAAAGGATTAAATGAATGAAACGGAGCTACCACGAACCACCTTCAGCAAAATGCTCAGCTTTTCTCTTTAAAAGGAAATGGTAGGGTCTAGGAAACTTCACAAATGAGGCACCTTTGTGTTTTTTATTTTTATCTTGGAGAATGACTAGGAATTTGTAAAGGGGCAAGAGATGTCCCAAGTGGAAGGAAGAACATTTCTAAACCTGAAGTCATGCATGTGTACAGCGTTAGGCAGCACATGGCGGTCAGCGTGGTCAGACAGAGTACACTTGTGCATCACTGTAGCAGTGAGGACGTGTTTGGAGAAATGCATCATTAAGCAATTTGGTCATTGTGCAAACATCAAAAAATGTATTATACAAATGAAGATGGCTATAGTACCAGTAAGTGATGCAATCATATGGAAAGCCTGAGGCGTGTTTGGGGCTAGTATGGCCTTCAAGGCAGTTATGGAGCAGATGACCATATCCATGGGGTGAAAGTTGAGATGGGGCAATTAGGGTAGGACAGTTTTCAAGGGCTCTATATTCCAAGGTAGAATCCATGCTTACATAGGAAACACTCCTCAACACAGAAATGAGGGCTCAGTCCTGGAGAAGGAGAGGGGTAAGAAGGATTTCTCAGCTGCTAGCTGACCTCCTGAGAGTTCACACAGAAACGTCAGCTCTGTGGTGTTCATCTGCTGGCCCTCAGGTATTTTCCACTGTGAGCCAACGTCAGATGGTTTAGGATCACAAGATGCCCTGCCATCACTCTTCCTCTTTCACTGTGGATGCCCCCATGTTCTTCTTGAGTGGAAACAGTGACGGTGGAGACCTGGGAATTCCAGAGTCTCCTCATTGAATCATCATGGGCAAGTCTAATTGGATAATGGTGGGCCAAGATGTCTTCTAAGGTTATCTCCAGTTTTAGTTTGTGATTCCAACTTTCCAGAATTTGTCTGCTATAAGTAATCAGTCCAAGGTCAGGCGGTGAGTGAATAGGCCATAAGCACCCTTGTTATAGCCTGTGGTTATTCTATGTTGGGCCTACACTGTGCCTAACAGTTCTGCCCAGGAATCAAGACAATTTCCTTTGTTGTCATTTGTATTTTAAGAACTGTAGTTATTCTCAAATTCAAACTTAGAAATCAACTTGAGAGCTAGTGGGTTTTGTGGTCTGTTTAATTAAAATTCTGGAACACAGAGTCCTCCACAGAGGCCTTGCTCTGGAAGGCATCCTGGGAGTTCAACCCTATTCAAAGTATGGCAGTGTTTATAACAGAATTTTCTCTGTACTGTGGGCTGATCTATAGGCAGGATCTCTGCTCTCAAGAGGTAATTCATTAGTCTGATTGCTCTTATTGCAACACTCTGGGTGACCAGATTCTATTGAGGGTGTGAGGGTGTTTGTGTGTGTGTGTGTGTGTGTGTGTGTGTGTGTGTGTGTGTGTTGTGTCCTTTGTTGGGTGGGATGATCTAGCTGTAATGAAGTCTTTCAACTTTAAGCAAGGATTTTTTTTTCTTTTTGGAGACTCAAAGTGTGGAGACAATATCCTGCTTTAAACTGGGGATGGCATTTTCAAAACTTTTAAACCATGTTTTTTATCCAAGGACAAAGAGATACACTTAAAGGTTTAAACACATACTGTATGGGTTTCAAGTCATGTTGTGACTTTCAAATGCCTTATTGGGATGTTGTATGTTATTGGCTTTGAACTCATCACCAAATTATGTCAAGTGTTTGTTCCTCTCTTAACTGCCAAGAGTTTCCCCTAACAGACCCTCATTGAGAGGCCTCACTGCCAGATACTGTATATGCAAACCAATAGCCAGAGTGAGAGAATCCAACCTTATTTCTTACTGAATAAATCAAGATGGTTAACCCAAGTTAGGTAACTCAGTAATAATAACAACAACAATAATATAATGTGATTAAATTATTATATTTTATGATTATATGACCCAAGTTATAATAGCCTGAGTTATAATAACCAATAACTCAAGTTAGGTAACTCCACAGCAGCTGTAGTTTACTTTTATGTGTCCATATGTCTCTTGGCTGGGGGAGATCCAGGTGTGTTTGTACGTTTGTATAAATGCCTCAGTTATGAAAAAAACCTACAGTAAAATGCAGCCTTCACTCTTCTAGCATGAGAAGAACTTGATACCTGGTCAGCAACTGAGAACCTACGCGTTTCTGAAATTTTGGAACCAACTACACAAATAACTTCCTGGTACCAAGCACATCTCTCTCCTTCAAATGCTGAGTTCACATTATCTAAGCCCTCTGGTCTCTGGCTTACAGTAAATAATTGTCCACAGCTGCTGAGAGTTGGTTTATCCTCCAATAAAGGTCAGGATGGCTGACTAGACATCAGAAGGAAAACTTCTGAAATTTGGTGTTTAGACTAGCTTACATCTATGTTTATCTCTTTTGTTCTTGTTGTAACTAAATAGGCAAATGTGGGCTGTGGCAAAGGCAAGGCAGGGGACCTGGATATCATGCTGTTCTCTCTGGGTCTTTAATACTAATGCATGGAGCCCCTCCCTGCTTTCTGTACCTGTATCCTGTGTCTTTGCAAGCAGATGGGTATACAAGGATCTCTCTAACTTCTGACCAGGTGGGGTAGTATGAGTGGAGATGTAAATAGCCTTTATCCATAACCATGGATATCTATTATTTTCATAAAACTGGAAGGGGGTTTGGCAACTATCACCCAAAGTGAAAACCTTCCCATCCTGAAGTCCTCTGGAACACCTGATGAAGAGGAGGCCATCCTTCAGCATCAGGAAGAGAAATCAACCAAAGGCCCCATCTCTCACCAGTGTGCGTGGGGGGGGCAACAGGGTCTGCTGGTGCATGTCCATTACCCAGGGGAGCTGAGAGGGCAGGCCACACCCCTGCCACACACATCTCCAGATGAGATTTCTAGGCTTGGCTTACGGTGGGGCCCACACAAGCTCTCTCCAGCTGTGTCTTGGGACTTCAAGGAGGAGGCCTATTAACAGGATGAGGTGGGAGGCATCCTCCCCGGGATTAAAAAAATTTATTGGGTTAAAATCTAATGCAAACACAGTTTTCTTTGGAAACAGCAACACAAGGAGGAAAAGGATAAGCAAGGATAAATCCAAAGAAAATGAAGGCAACTTCTATGAACCGCCAGGGAGTTGGGGGAGGGGAGGAAGGGTCCACAAGCCAGGAACTAAAAACAAGAGCACTTAATGCCTGACTGATAATAAGAGACTCCTGACCTGATTACCTACGCCAAGATCACTCCACACCCAAAATGCACCCGAGGGTGTCAACTGTGGCTCCCTGGCCTCCGTCTCTGTATTGTCGAATACGCCTCTCCCATTATCACATCTAGTAAGGCAGAGAAGCATGTTGTCAAGCAGACCCTTCTGAATCTGACTTGGAGCTGTAGGAGATAGTCCCTACTGGACACCCATTTCTTTACCTACGGACTCTGGAGACATCTCAAACTGCACCTTAGCATACTACCTGGTGCACAAGGAATCTTCAAAAAATATTTATTATTGCTTCTTGCGACACCTCTCTATGCCCCGACTACCACGCCATCTCTCACAGTTCTTTCTTTTCCAAGGCCAAGGCTCAACGACTTTACACAAACTCTATCCAGAGCTGTCCAACAGAACTTCCTGGATGTGCCAGTATGGAAGGCACTACCTGCCCTTGACTCATGGTTTGATGTCTGAAGAGCAAAATGTTTACCTCATTTAAATTTCACTTAGATTTGATAACCATGTGTGGTTAGTGGCTACTCTCTTATACAATACAAGCCTTATGGTTTTCTTTATTTCCCTCTAAAGATATCTACTCTAGTTGGTTTTCTTTTTTCACTCGTTGTTATTTTGCCTCCGGAATCCGAAGTTTCATCCCTACAGATTTGTATACTGCACACATGGCCAGGTTGAAAGTTGAAATGAGAGCTGAAGTTGAAACAGCACTTGACTTATCGACTCTCCTGTCCCGGCGTGGCTGCAATGATGGCCTAGCTCCCTACCCAGAAAGAGAACCTTGCTCGCAGGTACACGTATGTCAACCTGGCTTCTGCACGTCTGTGTTCTTTCTCCAGACAAAGCCACCTTGCTTTCTGAGCTTGGTTCAGACGGAGCTTCTTTTCCTCCAAACTCATAGTACTTTCCTTTATCTGGGAGACCTGGCAGGGCTCTGGAGTTAAGCACTCAGAACTTGAAGCCACATGTCTTGTTAGAATCCCTGCTCTGTCGGATAACCTGGAGGGAACCTTGGACACATTATGCCTTCTCTGTGAGCCTTAAGGTACTCAACTATACAACGGTGCAGTAACAATGGAATCTCTCTTACCGGGAGGAACTAATTCTTACAGGTTTGCAAAGTGACAGTGAAGTTGGGTTCATAGCCTGAGGTTTGGCCCAAAAGCAGTGTGGTGTGCTTGTTTGCATACACATTCCTATTTTCAGTAAATATTTATTAAGTTTACCATGTACTAGACACATTGCCAAGCTCAGGGAGATGCAACACAATGGTAACTAAACGAAGATAAATCCCTGGCCACCGTGAGGTGTGGGGGAATGAATACAGGTAATATCCCAAGTGAAGATAAATATGTGAACAAGTCGAAAGGAAAGCTCTTGGTACGGTGGCAGAGAGAGAGAGAGAGAGAGAGAGAGAGAGAGAGAGAGAGAGAGAGAGAGAGAGAGAGAGAGAGAGAGGAGAGAATAGATGGGTAGGTAAATAGATTGATATAGACAGACAGATAGAGAAGACACATCAGAAAAGAAAACTTCAGTTTTCTTTTCTGAAGATGCTGGGAGCTGAGATCAGGAGTGTTGAGTAAGTGTTGGATTAACGAGGAGGAAAGGGAAGAATGTTCTAGAAAGGGGAAAAGCACATGCAAAGGCTTTGGATGCCTGGGAACCAAAAATGTGCCAGAGGGGAAAACACGGATAGGACCAGACGGTAGGCCAGCCCAGGCAGAGGTTTACAGGCACGGAAGGGAGAACAGAGGAGGGGCAGGACTGGTTTCCCTTCCCCACGAAACCCACAGCCTTCTGCTCACAAGGGCAGCTGGACCGTGGCCTCTCATGCAAATGAGGACAGTTCCAGAAGGCGTTTCAGACTGCCAAGAAGGAGTCACCGGTGCTCCTCTCACCCAGTATTAAGAACGTGCTAATTTTTGATAGTTAGCACAGCTTTGCAACCCTGTTTGAGAGTTCTACCACTGTCTAAGATGCTGTGTTCCAACATCCAACATCGAGGATGCGGGTCTTTTTGTAAGAGGCTCTTTGTTCCATACTTTCCTTGTATAAGTTGATGGTGCCCTGCTTATAGGAAATGTGAAAGGAGAATTCACTGTGTTTTCTAGGTTCCACACTTCTGCCTGAGAGAGGACCGTGGTGTAGAGTGGAGAAATTCGTTTCTATGTGTTTCCACCGAAACCAAAAATTAGACAGCATGGGGGAGAAGGCAAGCTCCCCTTCTAAGCATCTTTACCCAATGGCAAGGCTTGCATGAAAGTGACATGTCAAATCAGCCTAGGGGGTACAGCTACTTGTCCCCCAGGCATGCAGGGGCTCCATGGGAAAGGCAAGATAAGAGGGATAAGAGCTTCCTTACCCTGTGCTCTCTAAGCAGAGGGCAGTGCCGTTAAGGTACAAACACAAACCTTCACTTCCTTGTTCTCTAAACTTGCCTCTGGTGGAGTTCAAGCTTGTACGGATTTTTTTTTCAGGGGAAGGCCACAGAAACCCCTGCTTCAGGCGACTCACCCCGGAAGGGCTCCCTGGCCAACAGGAAAGGAATCTGGCCTAGACGTAGAGCTATGCCACCCAGGGTCGTATCTTTTCTGCTGTTACCTGGCCTCAGATTAAAGCGTTCAGCTCAAGGGCTGTTTTGTACCAAGTCAACTGCAGCTCCTTGACTTCCTGCGTAGGAGTAAAAAGGAAAATGGCCCCCTCTCAAGAACCGAAGACCCATCTCCTTCACTCTGATTGGGCCAAAAGAAGTCACATGCCTCCACCCAGACCAATAATAGTCTCCTTGAAAACAATCCATGTTCTGATTGGCATAAGCTAAATGAGATTTACCCCGAGGCTAGAGTAGCTTCCGGAATAGAATTGGGCATGTATTCAAAGGAAGAAAAAGGAGGGGGGTGGGCACGGGGAAGGCAAGTAGATCATATCCTCCAAGCAGTGAGCCCCCTCGTAGGAAAACGAGATGACTTTATAAGTCTCTGAAGCTCCACTTCATTCATCTGTCCATTCACTCGCTCACCCAGTGACTATTTATTGGGTGTTTGCCCTGCATGGGGAGCTAGGGAAGCTTACTAAGGCACCTCAAGAATTTTTCAAATACCTCCGCACATATTTTTCATTCACTTGCCACATGTGGCGGCAAGCAGCCTCAGAAAGAGGCGGATGCATTCACGTGGCACATTTTAAAAAACCCATGTGTCTAACACTCAGGTCTCACATTTAGATCTTCATAAATCTGGATTCCATGGGGACCAGGTCATGGTATCATTTCTGGCCACTGTCGAGGAAGATTTACGATGGTTGTTTGCATGACCCAACCATATGCTCCGACTGGGGAAATCGTCCGGTTAGCCTGCTTTGACGTATGTATTGATGACAAAGAAAGTTACACCACACCACAGGAAAAAGACAACAGAAAAACATCCCCCCCAATTTATCAGGGAAGTGCCTGCAGAAATAATGACCTCGGTAAAAATCAAGAGATGATTAAAAAGAATTAATGGATACTTCATGAAAAAGATGTTATGGTGGGAGGGTCTGGAAGCCAGCTGTCCTAACATTTCTGGGCCCAAGGTGCATTTTATTGGCTCTGTGAAGCGCACACTTTTATCCCCTCAGCAAAAGACCGTGAAAGGCAGGCCTGACAGCCAGTGCCTTCTCCGTTCTTACGTCCTTTTAAACCAGAGCTCCGGTCTTGAGAACAGCAGGATTTTCAAGCAGACTAGATCATTTCCTGCACGTGACCTGAATAATTGGAATGCCTTAAGTGCTGTCCAGAGAATGGGCCCTTTTAGGTTCACGGGTCAAGCAATCCCAATCCGGGAGATTCCAGGGTAAAGGCAGAGAACGAAGGAGGCAAAACCCACCCATCCCTGACTGCCTCCTTAGCAGAGATAATACTATCTCTATCCTATAAGAGGATATGGGGGTTGGATGGAGCACGGGACCCGGACAGGCACAGCAGGAAGCAGGGGGCGTGGATGAGTACAGACAGCATCAGAAGGAGATGTTTGTTGATGTTGTTGTGTGCAGTGTGTACAGGAGTGTGTGTGTGTTGGGGGGGTGGGTACGGATGAATGGCTGTGCATTTAGAAGGTCAGGGGAAGATGTGTGGTGTTCTGTTCTACCACTGTGCCTTAGTCCTTTGACACGGGGTCTCTTGCTGAATCCAGAGCAAACCAACTGTCCCCGGAGATCCTCCTGTCTCTGCCTCTAAATTGGAGATACAGGCACACGTGCGTAGCCATGCCCGCCTTATTTTTTTTTTTATCATTTTCTTTAACACAGAGGAACTGGGATCCACACCTAGGTCCTCATACTTCCACAGCAGACAGTCTCACCCACTGAGCCATCTCTTTAGACTGGGGGAATTTGAGAAGAAGTAAGAACTATACTCTGGCGGAGGTGACAAGGACACAACTCCCTACCCAGTCAGAAGCCATAGCTTTGCACACTGGAAAGTATGAATTTTAATTTACATAAATAAAAAACAAATGAGACGCCAAAACTCATATATACATATATATGCATATATATATATATATATATATATATGTTAGTCTTATATCCCTAAAAGCTAAGGCAGGTGTTTGTAATAAAAGTTGTAGTCTCTAGCATCATAAAGGTTGACAGGACGGGCACGTGACAGGACCCTGCATGGAACTCTACCCTTTGACTCCCAGACTGGTCATGATTCTTTTTGCTCCTGTCTGGTCAGACCTGCTAATTCCCTTTGCACTAGAAGCCACCATCTTCTCCCCTCACTTTCAGTTGCTTAGATTCTGTTTGTGTCTTACACCTCAGCTGGCCACTTCCTTCAGGAAAGCCTCTGCTAGGGCCTGGATACCTGCTCCTTCTCTGTGCCCCTCAGCACCGGTTCCCTGCTCCTCTGCCCACATGCCTCGGATGGCCATAGACCATGAATTGGGGTGTAAGGCAACCCTGGATCTTGATGCTTGCTGTATCCAAGCACCCAAGGCAGCCCTAGAAATACAGAATTGTTTGAAGTGGCTGGATATTTAGGCAGGTGGATTCGGAGTGGAAAGGGTATGAGAGAATAACAAATCAGGCTTGTTTTAACCTCTCAAGTGTCAGGGTTACTTGACTTTGGCAAGTAACAGGAGACAACTTTAGTATACTTAAGCAAAATAGAGGCTCTAGGGCTGGTCTATGGAAGAGGACACAGTTCAAAAAAGTCCCCTGTGCTTCACAGGAGACAGGTTTGTCATCGGGAATCCAGGTGAATATTTTTTTCTTTGTCTAATCTGCATTGCTTTTCTGCAGAGAGACTTGATTCTTCCCTCTGTTCTAACTTAACTCCCTAGATTGCATGCCCACACGATGGAAAGTGGTCACTCAGTGGCTGGTTTTCCTCCCCTCCTTGAAAGGAACTAGCTTGCTGCTTGTGAGTCCCGGTGGCAATGAAAGGAAGATTCTGACTACTCTGGGATGGGACCTACCTGTACATTACAGTCGACTGGCCATTGTGTGGCTCTCACAACACACACAGCCTCCAGGGCTAAGACCTTGCTTAGAGAAAGTGGGGCTGTCTTCTGATAGAGTAGAAACTCAAATTAGTAACCGCTGCTTTGGCAGAGAAACTTGGAAAGGAGCCCCATAGTCTTTATCGACATGTTCTCGGGGCCTTGAATATGGGCAGGACCCACGGCTTGCTTTTAACTGACAGAACGTGGCGAATGAAACAGGGTACCTGCGATTGTCGCCTCAGCTCATGACTCCACAGGTAAGACTGTAGCCCCCACCTTGCCGGAGTCTCTCTCTTCCTTGCTTGCTTCGTGGATGCAGATGGTGATATTGGGATGGTGACATCATCTGCATTGAGTGTGACATTTGGAGGGGATGAACTGGAGAAACGAGGCTGGCCTGGGTTTGATGGCTATCAGGGAACTGAAGTCCTGTGCTGTGGTTGTAAGTTTGTTAAGCATCCCAAATAAGACAACAAAGGGATTCTTCTCCACAAGGCTCAGGTGAGCCCATTCTAGACAGAGGCGTCAGTTAAATCATGCCTGGACTTCTGACCCACTAAGTTGTGAGCTGTTTGCGGGCGGCACTACACATGTCAAAGGAGAACTACCAAAACCACAGGTCTGGCTCAGCCTCATCTACCTTCCTAGGCAGATTTCGTCCTCGCCGAAGAGATTCCCCTGAAGGCAGGCTCTTCCCTGGGCTGGGGCAAAGAGGATGAGACTGAGTAACCCTCCCTTAAATTATCCCTTCCCACATCCCTGCCAATGGAGGGTGGGCAATCACAATACCCACCTGTCATCATCCCACAAGGGCTACGTAGTCTGTGACATGCAGAGCTGGGGGTTCTCATCCTACCAGAAGTGGGCATTGGCCAAAACATCATCTCGTGGCACACAACTAACCACCTGTGTTTCAAGCCAACTAAAGACAGAATACTCTTATCTCCTCAAGTCCAGAAAACTGAAGTGGCCCCACCCATTGTGAGCTCCAGGCCAGGGCCCTGTGACACATGCTCAGCACACTTCCCACACATAAATTAGGCATTTCACACACAAAAAAACTGATCCTCTGCAGTTTCTAAGAACAGGAAGGGAATGAATACCCGCAATGCATGCATACTAGCAATTGATATATAGCAATAATTAAATAGATGTGGCTAATGTACAATTATGATAATATATTCGTTATTGCCTTAATCCATGACTCAAAAAAAGATGAGTTCAAATACAATGGTTCAAATATCTAGCTGGCTCTTAGCAAGCACTACCATGTGTTTCGTAGTAAGTCTTACCTCAGTATTTGCAGGGCTACTCTGAGGTGCTCTCAAGCTCAGCAAGACTGCAGAGCCCTCAAGGGAAAGAGACCTGGCAAGGACTCAGCCTGGCCCACATCCCCGTCCTTAGCTTAGCCCTTGCCTGCTTCCCATAGTATTGTGGATTAGAGCCCATTTCTTGCAGCTGGACATTTTGCTCTGAACTTCCAGTCACCGCTATGATTTTAAACTCAGAAACTGCAGTGAGGCCTGAGTGAACAGACCTTTCTAGGATGGTGCCTGGATGTAACTTATATTACTGTAGCCTGCAGCATTCCGCAATTGAGAAAACAGAGCATCAGAGAGGCTAGGGCCTATGCCCTAGGTCACACAGTCATCAGAGGTAGACATATAGTGAACCCTGGGCTGGTTTCCCTGTCCTCCTGAAGCTGGGAGATGGTCTAGTCAACCCTGCGGTGTATTTTCCTGAGCCCCAGAGGGTAGAAGAACAGCAAATTGTTTTCACAGTCCATTTCTTCTAAGTGAAAACTCCTCCTGGGTAGAGCCAGCCCCCCGATGGCACTGGACATGCTGGAAGCACCCTCCCGGATCTGCGAGCCATCAATAGAGCTAAATCTAAATGTCAGGTCACATCCTGCCTGACACTCGGCTTTCCCCAAACGTACATAAAATGAAAACCTCCGTGCATGCTGCTTAGCCATTTTCTAAAGCATCTTCCAGACTCTTCCTTCCAAGTCCCTGGTTAGCCCCACCCTGTGAAGGGCCACTTGATGTGGGAGGTGGTCTGGGTGTATGTTTTCAGCCCATACACCTTAGTGACCCTTGGAATTCCACGGCACAGGAGCCTACAAGGTGTTGAAATTCGGGGCAGGGAAGCCAGGGGTCTGGGAGGTACAGAGCATAAATCGGGCCT